AAAAGTGGCAAGAGACTCGATATCCGAAGTATTTATATATCAATATCTAAAAAAGGAGACTGTCTGTCTGTCTGTCCAGCTTTGCAGGGGTGGCTAGTGAGTGAGGGGTTGAGTGACAAACATAGGCATGTCGGGGTCGTCCCCATTGCTGCCTTATGTTAAGGGGGGTCGGCTTCCATGGCAACATTCACGCCAGGAATCGATGGATATGAAAGATGGGTAGCAGAATACACAGACTTTCATAATTTAGTCACTTTGTAAGATATACAGTTACTAGAGCACAGGCAGGTCGGGGTGTTAGCCTCCAAGGGACCGCAACACTATGATGCCCGTGTTGACCCCAACCGGGTACAACATGTTAATAGCGCAACCTTCTGGGGTCGACCCGGGCCCCGCCGGGTACTGGGTACTAGTGGTGTCTCTGGGACCCTCCTTATTGTGGCTCGTTTGTAGTGTGGTCTATAAAGTTACTGTCTCTCCCTTCTGGGGTTGATGAGGCTTCTATAATGCACAAGTAAAAAAAATAAAAACTAGTTTGGCTCACCAGAAATGTACGAACCCAAGCAACCTAACTCATCGAAGCCGGTGTATAGAAACCGTCAATATTACGGTGCTTTAATTTGTACTAATACATCGTGCTTTTAACTCATTGGTCGATTCCGTTAAAACTTTGACTATTGGGTGAGCAGACAGATTGCACTGTGGCTCTTTGCTTCCAGCCCGGGAGGTACTCTCTCGACTTCCTTGACAGCGGTGTCATTGTCAGAACCCCGATGTGTTCCCTCGTCGACATTGGTGCCAGGACCCGGCGTGTCAACTTGACACCAGGGGTCAGGTCTCAGGATCTCAGCTGTACACAAGTCAGGTCCCAGGGTGTCAACATGATACTGGCATCAGGTCCAAGCATGTTAACTTGACACCCTGGGTCCCGACACTGGGCCAACTTGACACCAGTATCAGTACCCAGAGTGCCAAACTGACACCGGATTCAGGAACAAAGGCACAAAACATCTCTCTCCTTTAGCAAACAATTATTCTGGATTCCACTTAGGTGAATAGACTTCCAACGAGGAAGTCAACACCATGGGAGACCTTGTTATTGACTTCAGTTCTAGCATGCTGCTTCCTAACCAATAAGGGTAATGCACTCCCACTGCACCGTGGGTGATATATCATGTGTGTATGTCGACACTCCCACAGTACCGTGGGAGATGTACAGCATCATCTGTGAGTCAACACTCCCACAGTACCGTGGGAGATGTACAGCATCATCTGTGAGTCGACACTCCCACAGTACCGTGGGAATATGCATGGATCTGAATGTTCATTCAGTAAAATAAATTGCTCTGAACATGTAAATTTAACACAAAAAAAATGCATTCAATTAAATTATTCATTTTGAATTTCACACCTTTACCACAAAAAATATATATGAATATGCAATCCATTCTTCACTTTTTTTTCTTACTTTTTTGTACTATTGGAAATGGTTAAATTCGTCCAGGGAATAAAACCAGGAATTGTAAAAAGTGAAGACAAAAGACTGACCAAATCTATCCTAGGGCTAAACAAATTTTTCCAAGGACTAATTTCATGTGCAATATAGCACAATATATCGGACATATGATGAGTTTAATTTTGCTTAAAAAGATTTGAATTTTGTTGACATGGCTTTATATTTTTTTTCAAATTGAGAAAGGATATAAAAATGATAGACCAAAAAGGCGTATTCTTATCTATGTGCGACAAAACATATTTAGAGCCCATTGTCGCTATACTTCTATACAAATAGAAATGTTACTATGAAAATGTTATCATCTTTGAGTATTGTTGCAAAATATATTTAAAATATATAACTTTCATTTCTAATCACATTTCGCAAAAATTTTCAATACATTTTTCTTAAAACATCTTGACAAATTACATATATGTGATACTGGCCTTAATACCCCTCAGGAAGTTGATAGGCCTACGGCCATCAACAAAGCAGTGCCTCCTGGCGATATCCTTCATCGCGTGTAAAAATCACTGCCACTGACATATCATAAAACTGTGGGACGCTAAGTAATATAGGAAAGACGTCCTTCATATAATTTTTAACACCCTTGCTTGCGAAGCTCATCTCTATAACGCCAAAAGATGCAAGGCTCTTGAAGCATCACTCTCCCTCAGAGTGCTGGAGCCATTTCCTTAAGCCACCCTATGAGCACTATACACAAAAGGTTCTCTTAACCTTATTGCCTAGTTAAAACGTTGTTAAAACGTAAGAATATTACCAACCATTTACGTTCTGGTTACCTGGTGGGCAGTATTAACACAAACTGGATCATCTTCATGAATGGCAAATTTAGCTCATCTTAGAAGTTTGTTTGCCCACATGCACACTTCGTGAAGAGAACATCATTCTGACGTAAATACAACGTTATAAAAGTCGATGTGTTGTTGCATCTTTCCTGAGCAGCCTCAGTAGTCATAGGAGGTCGTTCGCAGAGAATGGACGCACCCAATTGGATAGGAAAGTGAGCATAGTAGAGATTGTCAACATGTTCTTGGCTCCTTTATACATGCTCAGGAGAGATACAAAATTTGTTTTAATTCAGTAAACTCACAATAAACGTTTTATTGTTCTTACTTTGAGGTAAGTTTGTAAGAACGCCGAGTAGCCAAATATGAATGAGTTTGAGCGGATATAAATAGAAGCTGCCTCGTATGGGCCAATAGGAGCTGCTTCGTATGGGCTAATAGGAGCTATACCTCGTATGGACCAATAGGAACTGCTTCGTATAGGCCAATAAGAGCTGCCTCGTGTAGGCCAACAGGAGCTACTTCGCATAGGCCAATAAGAGCTGCCTCGTGTAGGCCAACAGGAGCTACTTCGTATAGGCCAATAAGAGCTGCCTCGTGTAGGCCAACAGGAGCTACTTTGTATAGGCCAATAAGAGCTGCCTCGTGTAGGCCAACAGGAGCTACTTCGTATAGGCCAATAAGAGCTGCCTCGTGTAGGCCAACAGGAGCTACTTTGTATAGGCCAATAAGAGCTGCCTCGTGTAGGCCAACAGGAGCTACTTCGCATAGGCCAATAAGAGCTGCCTCGTGTAGGCCAACAGGAGCTACTTCGTATAGGCCAATAAGAGCTGCCTCGTGTAGGCCAACAGGAGCTACTTTGTATAGGCCAATAAGAGCTGCCTCGTGTAGGCCAACAGGAGCTACTTCGTATAGGCCAATAAGAGCTGCCTCGTGTAGGCCAACAGGAGCTACTTCGCATAGGCCAATAAGAGCTGCCTCGTGTAGGCCAACAGGAGCTACTTTGTATAGGCCAATAAGAGCTGCCTCGTGTAGGCCAACAGGAGCTACTTCGCATAGGCCAATAAGAGCTGCCTCGTGTAGGCCAACAGGAGCTACTTCGTATAGGCCAATAAGAGCTGCCTCGTGTAGGCCAACAGGAGCTACTTCGTATAGGCCAATTGGAGCGGCCCTCATATGGTTCAATAGGAACTGCCTCACATGGGCCAATAAGAGTTGCCATGTACGGGACCAATATCAGCTGGCTCCAGTGGCACAATAGGCTACATGCAGTTCCCCGTGCCGGGCTCCTATTTTCTTGTAGCTCAGTGCACCCAACGTCAACACGTCAGAAAGTAACATAATAGATTAAGTGTGGTACTTGGCACTCTCCTTGACCGCATGCCAGTGCCATTATTGGAAATTCATCAGCATCAACACTGCCATATTGACCTCATCAATAAACTTCAGCAGTATCATCCACATCTGCACCCATTTATCAAAATGGTCATGTGATTTAAGGTGAGTTTATTCAAGCGGCGTCTGTCCAACAAGCTATGCTCATGCAAGCTGCAGCTATATATATCATCAGCTCATCCTCAAGCTTTTAATGTACCTTTAAGTTGCACTTGGACATCATCAAAGTCACTGAAAAGTTTACTGTTGTCCCTAGTAGACCTTAAGTAGTCTCTCAATGAGTACTTAAGAAGCTATATGTAGTTGGGCTAACCTCACCAGGGCTAACCTCAACCCCTAACCAGGTCTAACACTGTCATATATATATATATATATATATATATATATATATATATATATATATATATATATATATATATATATATATATATATATATATATATATATATTATATATATATATATATATTTAAATATATTTAAATATTTATATAATATAATATATTATATAAATATATAATATATTTATATATTTAAATATTAAATATATTTTATATTTATATATATTTAAAGCATTGCTATTCCATGATAATTATTAACGATGCAACATCAATCTTAACCAATCATGCTTTCCTAAATAGACCCTTTGGTTAATAAAAAAAAAACGAAATTCTTGCTTCTGTCCAAAACCAATTCACTTTTATAAAGAACTTACACCGACCCATTAAAAAAGTGGGCTTTTGTGCAACTAAACAGTTTTGATGTAATTAACTTTTATACAAAATAGTTTTCATAACATTTATGTTATATTTCCAGATTATATAAAAAACTGCCAGGTTGCAAAAAAATAAATTTATCGCCATTGGAAATTATTTTTTTCGTCTTTGTTCAATAAGTTAAATTTGCTTCTATGAAACAAATATGTTTAATTTGAGAACGAGCTTTGTAGCAATCATGGGATGTGTGGCCAATATGCTGCAACATGGTTTCAACACAAATGTGCAACACATGTTGTAACTCTCAACATATTGCCAACAATACAAAACCCAACAATAACTATCACTGCCTGAGCTATGACACATGATACATAACTTCTCGACACGCGGAACAAGACGCATATACATATTCTACACCAGACACATATGTGTACGACACACACACACACATGACACACATGACACACACACACACACACACACACACACACACACACACACACACACACACACACACACACACACACACACACACACACACACGACACACACGACACACACACACACACACACATGACACACATACCTGAGCATGTAGAGTATCTCGCCCATGGGGTTGATCCTGACCAGGACGTTGGGCACGGTCACAAACTGGAACTCTGCGTGTTTGGCGTTGGGGAAGTACACCTCAGGCTTCCATATAGCCTTCACCAAATTGGGGTCATTAAGGTCAAGTGGTTGTGAGATGTCGGCGTGGTTCAGACGCTCGTCCACCCACGATTGTCTCAGGTACAGGTCAACCGCATAATCCTGCAAGGAACAATACAAAAGCTTTTTTTTTTGGTAGCGTATTGCAAAATAAATATTAAGACTAGTCTCTTGTATTTCCACTGCGGTGGCAAAAAAAAAACATAGCTGAATTAACTTTGATATGACGGTTTTGTTTACATATATTAAAGTTTACGAGGTTGTAAACTTTACAACCCAAGGTTATTATTGTTATAATCAACCTCGTGTAGTGCTTTGGTGCCCATAAACTGTTTAATAAATGTAAACAAAGCCACCATGATTGAGGAATGATGTAGAGGTTTCGTCAGTGGTTGAGCTAATGCTTAATCCTGAACCTGGCTGCATCGTTCACAAGAGTCGGAAATGAAGGCCGAATTAATTTCGAAACTCATCTCGAGTCCATCATTAAGTTAGGACAGAAACTCTTCATTTTGATAAAAACTCCACATACCCGAGCAACCCCAACCCCCACATACCCGAGCAACCCCAACCCCCACATACCCGAGCAACCCCAACCCCCCACATACCCGAGCAACCCCAACCCCCACATACCCGAGCAACCCCAACCCCCACATACCCGAGCAACTCCAACCCCCACATACCCGAGCAACCCCAACCCCCACATACCCGTGCAACCCCAACCCCCACATACCCGAGCAACCCCAACCCCCACATACCCGAGCAACCCCAACCCCCACATACCCGAGCAACCCCAACCCCTACATACCCGAGCAACCCCAACCCCCACATACCCGAGCAACCCCAACGCCCACATACCCGAGCAACCCCAACCCCCACATACCCGAGCAACCCCATCCCCCACATACCCGAGCAACCCCATCCCCCACATACCCGAGCAACCCCAACCCCCACATACCCGAGCATATCCACAGCCACCCATCCATGCAATCCACTTACGGACCCCCACCCCACATTCACACAGGAGGCCTTGCGACTGAGTGGACAGCGCTCTGGGGTCGTAGTCATAAGAGCCCGGGTTTCATCCCCGGTGGAGGCGGAAACAAATGAAGTTTCTTTCACCCTGGTGCATCTGTTCACCTAGCAATAAACAGGTACCTGGGAGTTAGACAGCTACTGCTTGATACCTGCTTGATGGGGTTCTGGGAGTTCTTCTACTCCCCAGAACCCCACTTGTGAGAGTTTGGTCCACCAGACTGTTGCTTGGAGGGGCCCGCAGGCCCACATACCCACCACAGCCCGGTTGGTCCGGCACTTTTTTCTGGAAACAGTCTAGTTTCTCTTGAAGATGTCCACGGTTGTTCCGGCAATATTTCTTATAGTCGCTGGGAGGACGTTGAACAACTGCAGACCTCTGATGTTTATAGTGTTCTCTGATGGTGCCTATGGCACCTCTGCTCTTCACTGGTTCTATTCTGCATTTTCTTCCACATCGTTCACTCCAGAACGTTGTTATTTTACTGTGTAGATTTGGGACCTAGCCCTCCAGTATTATCCATGTGTATATTTTTTGGTATCTCTCTCGTCTCCTTTCTAGTGAGCACATTTGGAGAGCTTTGAGATGATCCCAATGATTGCTCCGGACTGCTTCCTGGGGATGTGTGAGTGTGTGTTAAGAGAGAAATATATGTAGTACAAATAATAGAGGAAAAATAAATTGGTTAGAAAGGCGGGGTCCAAGAGCTAACAGCACGATTCTGCAGATACAAATAGTAAATACACACAGCCCACACATCCACCCACACAGAAACCAACTTCTTCAAATCCTATCAATGTTCTTGTACCGAAGGACACCTCAATAGCGCCCTAATTGACAGGTCAACGTCGAGAGCCATGTTCCACACACCCTGCAGTCCCCCCCTTCTCTCTCTCTCTCTCTCTCTCTCTCTCTCTCTCTCTCTCTCTCTCTCTGACTCTCTCTCTCTGACTCTCACTCTCTCTCTCTCCCTCTGACTCTCTCTCTCTCCCTCTGACTCTCTCTCTCTGACTCTCTCTCTCTCTCCCTCTGACTCTCTCTCTCTCTCCCTCTGACTCTCTCTCTCTCTCCCTCTGACTCTCTCTCTCTCCCTCTGACTCTCTCTCTCTCTCTCCCCTCTGACTCTCTCTCTCTCTCTCTCCCTCTGACTCTCTCTCTCTCTCTCTCCTCTGACTCTCTCTCTCTCTCTCCCTCTGACTCTCTCTCTCTCTCTCTCTCTCTGACTCTCTCTCTCTGACTCTCTCTCTCCCTGACTCTCTCTCTCTCTCCCTCTGACTCTCTCTCTCCCTCTGACTCTCTCTGTGTTCCTTCAGCCGTAATGGTATTACGGCATTATTTGCGTCTCTGTTGCAGGCACTACGCAGTGAAAAAATGCATCCCCATTCCATTTTTAAATTGTCGTTGTTGGATTGTTTCCATGGAAGGTTAGATATACATGCCTCTTCCACTTGGCATTGATAGCCAACCATGGCTGGGTAGGATGGCTTGTCCCAGCAAACTCAACAACCGGACGTTGTTGCAACCATGCAAACACAGTAAGAGTGTTGTAACCCATTTGCTGTGATACAGTTACACACACTCGCAGTGAGGAGTATGCTGGTGATTGGGAGCTTGGAACTGGTGAAGGAGTCTGCATGCCTGGCTGTTCACGTCACCCCTGGAGCAAGGCAGTCAGTTGCACGTATAGCTCCGAGCGGAGGCCTGCTCGTCACAGTGGCCCTCCTCCCCACCGTCCCAGCCCCAAATTTAATCCTGACCCCTTCCAAGTGCTATATAGTCGTAATGGCTTGCATGGCGCTTTCTTCCGGTAGTTGCCCTTCCTCAGATCCCTTGTCCTGTAACCTACATTGTCAGAGTTCAGTTTTCACCCTGATCTATTGGGCAGTTATCTGAAGTATAGTCAAGAGACAGATAGACAAACATATAGACTGTTGTGGGTACGAGGCCGCTCGTCACTTCACATTCAGACCCCTAGGTGTTATGGGTGTAAGTTAGCCCAAAGGTTGGTAGTTTAGCAACATATAACGTATATCAGCCTTCAGCGTATTGTGTTGTTTTCAATATTTCCATAATTAGGCTTAAGGGTATATCCTATAGTGTTTGCTGATTCATGTTTGGAATACATAATATTATTGTGAAGTACAGGATGTAGGATTTTGACTTCTGTTCACAAATTACGCTAACTGCTATCACCCACAGAGAGTAGTTGACCATACGCCATGGTGTGTGAGCACCATGAGTCTCACCAGACAACAGTCATGTACTCAGAACTTGTCACACCACGAGACATAGTCCGTCCTCATCAACAATGGGCAAATGCTCGTTAATCCAGCCACCGAACCCCATGTTTATGAATGGAAAGCGCTTTTCATATGACTCAGAACTATGACGTTCATACATATCTCAAACAGAGCTTCGCTGACGTCCTGTGTACAAATCGCAACTCTGTAAATCACTATATTGGCCGCTGGACCGACCTGTAAGGTCAGTGATCACTGACAGTGCTGTTCGTAATGAGACAGAGGCCTCTGTTGATCAAGGTTCGCCTCCTGGCCCAACCTCGTGGACACTCACAATTTGACAATCACAACACAAGGCGCTGCAGCCATCAACAGCCTCGTGCTGGCTCTACCATTTTCAAGACCAGCACACAGCCAGTATGACTATATAGCACTTGGAATGAATATGAGGACAGGGCAGGTGGACGCAGTGAAGAAACGGTGCCCATCAACTTGGACTATCGGGGATCGAACACCCTGTAGACCGCCGGTGTAACCACTAGTCGAAGTGGATAGAAGTGGATACACACAGGGGAGAGCCTGTAGCTGAGTGGACAGCGCTTGGGGCTTGTCATGCTAAGGCCCGGGGGATCGATCATCGGTGACGGCGGAAACAAATGGGCAGCGTTTCTTTCACCCTCATGCCCCTGTTACCTAGCAATAAATAGGTACCTGGGAGTTAGATAGCTTTTACGGGATGCTTCCTGTGTGTGTGTGTGTGTGTGTGTGTGTGTGTGTGTGTGTGTGTGTGTGTGTGTGTGTGTGTGTGTGTGTGTGTGTGTGTGTGTGTGTGTGTGTGTGTACAAAAATAATTAGTAACAGTTGATTGACAGTTGAGAGGCGGGCAGAAAGAGCAGAGCTCAACCCCCGCAAGCACAACTAGGTGAATACACACACGACCAAAGAGCCAAAGCTCAACCCCCGCAAGCACAACTGAGTACACACACACACACACACACACACACACACACACACACACACACACACACACACACACACACACACACACACACACACACACACACATACACACACACACCCAGCGCCAAGTAAGACACATGATCTGCGCTTTGTAAGAATCTACGATACTTATCTAAACACATCATTGAGTGTTCCGTGTGAGCGGAAGCCAGCAGTTGTAAAGACAAGATGTTTATCCTGGCTCTGTTCTCCTGTGAAGCACGGCACGGATCTATACACACACCTGCTGGCTCTCTTCCTTTACCTTATTATGCCCATATTCTTCACAGTCGACTTGAGAATGGTCCAGGACGGACCGAAACGTCGTCGTCCCTTCATTTTCTAGTGTGTGGATTGGTCAACATTCTCCACCTCTTTACACACTCATGTCCAATATATATTTTGTTTGAGCCGTTCCAGTGTGTTCCAGTGGGCCTTGGACCCTTGCCGGATTCGTCAAACATTTACGTAACCACTATGAAACCTGTACATCTTACCGTAGTCATGGCGGCTTTGTTTACATGTATTAAACGGCTTACCTGCTTGGAAATTTTACAAGCCAAGGCTATTATTGTAATAAATGACTTCATTGTGCTATGGAGCTCATAAACTGTTTAATATACGTAAATAAAGCCGTCATGACTGAGGAGAGATGTACAGGTTTCGCAACCACGTACGTGTTCACTTGCTTTATGCTTGTGCATTCACTATACCTCACCGTTTACGTGCATACAAACTCGTCATACGAACTCACTCGCCTCTGTTATGCACTCATTGGCCTCAGTTATGCACTCACTGGCTTCTTTTATGTACTCACTGGCCTGTTA